TTATGTTCAATCAAGGGCTATGCTCTTAGCAAGACCATAAGTCCTCTTATATTTTCTCATTACTTCCATTCATGTCCTTTTGGTCATTCTCTTTGTCTTTAAAAAGCCTTCCACTTGAACTAAATTGCACCTCCTAGCTGGTGCTGTATTGGGCTTGGTTGCACATGACCAACCCACCCAAGTCTATTTGTTTCATCTTGTTGCCTATTGGAGCTACCCCTAAGCTCCCTTGAGTGTATTTATCTCAAATTCTATCCCTTTTTGTTTTGCCGCTTATCCATCTCAACATTCTCATCTCTGCTACACTCATCCTATGTGTATGTTGTTTCTTAACTGCCAACATTCTGTCCCATAAAGTAAAGTTGGTCTTATAACTATCTTATAAAACTTTTCCTTTAGCTTCATTAGTATGCAGCGATCACATAAAACTCTAGTTGCACATCTCCATTTTGTTCATCCAGCTCAAATTTTATGTGTGACATCTTTCTCAATCCATTTTCATGGATTATTGATCCAAGATATCGAAAATACTCTCTTTTAGGTATTTCTTGGCCATCAATCTTAACTACTACTCATTTCTACTCCTATTATTACTAAATGTGCATTCTATATATTTTGTCTTAGTCTGACTATTTTTAAATCCTTTAGACTCTAATAGCATCCCTCCAAAGTTCTAACTTTCCATTGACACTGCTTCTAGTCTCATTGACTAAAACTATATCATCCGCAAACATGCACCACAGTACCATCCTATAGATATCTATATAACTCGTTCGTGACCAAAACAAAGAGTTGTAGGCTCAATGCTGACCCCTGATGTAGGCTTATTGTCACTGAAATCTCCCTTGTCTCTCCATTGGTTGTTTGCACAATAGTTAGCGCTCCCTTATACATATCTTTCACCATATCAACATAAGAATCCTTTCTTTTTCAGCCCTCACCAAATTAACTCTCTAGGTACCCTATCGTAGGCTTTCTCTAAATCAATATAGATCATGTGAAGGTTTTTTCCTTCTCCTTGAGCTTCTCAATCAGTTGCCTAAGTAAAAAAAATAGCCTCAATTATTGACCTCCCAGACATAAAATCAAATTGATTTTCTAAGACATTTGTTTGATGCCTTAGTCGTTGCTCAATTCTCTTCCATAGGTTCATAGTATGGCTCATAAGTTTGATCTCTCAGTTGTTTGCACGTTTCTATATATGTCCTTTGTTATTGTAAATAGGTACCAAAATACTTTTTCTCTATTCATATGACATTTTCTTTGTTCTCAACACCTTGTCGAAAAACTTGGTCAGCTAGCATATGCCGATCTCTCCCATGCACTTCCAAACCTCTATTGGGATACCTCATGATCTTAAAGCCTTTCTTATCTTCATCCTCCTCCAGTTTCTTTCACTTTGAAAATGCTAATCCTGCGAATGTATCTATCACCCCCATTGCATTTATGTCAAAAGTTCGTCCTAGCACTGTGTTCCTATTGTGTTTGTCATTTAACAATTTTTTAAAATAAACTCTCCACCTTTTGTTAACCTCGTCATCCTTCTGCAAGACCCTCTAATCCTCACACTTAATACATTTAATATGGTCTAGGCCCCTACACTTCTCTCTCATTTTTGTTTGTTTGAAGACATCTTTTTCACCTTCTCTAGTTCCCAATTCATTATATAAATTATTATATGCCGTAAGTTTAGCTTTATTGTTTTCTTAGTTTTTTTTTAATATTTTTATGTTCTTCTAATTTTTGATTATTTCTATTACATTGGCAAGTTTTCTATCATGAATGGTTTTTGCTAGTGGCATTTTGAGCATCATCACTCTACCACCAAGTTTCCATATCAGAATTTCTTTTCCCTTTAGTTTCTCCTAAATCTTCTTTTGCCACTTTCTTAATGTAGTCAGCTATCTCACTCCAAATAACATTAACTTTGTGTTCAAAGTTCCACTTTCCTTTCTTATATTAATTTATCCCAAAATAAGTCTATTTTTTCCTTTTAAAATTCCACCACCTTTTGTTTTGGACACCTACTAATTTCATTCCTCTTTCATCTCGTTATGCAAACATCCATAACTACAAGCCGATGCTGCGTGGTCAAACTTTCTTCTGTGATAACCTTACAATCTTTACATGATGGTCGATCTTAACGAGGAAAAAGTTTATTTGGCTTACATGTGATCCACTTTTATAAGTTTTGAATGTTCATCTTGCTTTTTTAAAGTAAGTGTTTGCTATCGCTAGGTCGTTGGCCGTAGCAAAATCGAGAATAGCCTCACCCATCTCATTTCATTTTCCAAAATCATATCCCCCATGTACCCCTGCATATCCTCTATTATCATTCCCTACATGACTATTTAAATCCCCATCTAAAAACATTCTCTCTCCATTTAGTATGTTTTGGACTAGTCCATCCATGTCTTCACAGAATTGTCGCTTAATTATGTCCTCTAGTCCTTACTTGTGCAGCATAAGCATTATCAATTTTTCAAAAAACGCTAGGCGGCCGAGGGGGTCTAGGCCACTCGGTGATTAGGCGGACGCTTAGAACTTGGATGGCTCAGTAGAAAGAAAAGCCTCTATAGTCTAACAATATACACTCTATACAAGCAATCAAAAAATAAAAAATTACTAACTTTGATTGCTCAATCTCCAAACTTCCACCTCCAAGGTATTTTTAAGGACTCAAAATCTCCTAAAAAGCCCTCTAATAGATTTATAAAACATCCAAAACTACATCTAATATCAATGGGTGATGTTTAGATCAATTTTTTGTAACTTTGAGAAACCCTTCAATCCTACAGAGATCACGGAAAACTAGTTTTTTTGGGTTTTTTTCTCTCTAAAATAGGCTCTAATGGGGTTTAGGTTTCAAATGAACCTAAAACCCATGATTTTCCCCCTTCTATATTAAAAACAATTAAAAAATGACGTTATTTCCGCCCTTGGGCAGGTGCAAGTCGTGGCGGCTGCTCAGGGCTGGGCCCGCCTAGGCGAGCGCCCAGGGACATCCTGCCTAATTTGGCTGCTTAGGTGTGCCCGGGCCTTCTGGATCGCCTAGGCGCTGTGCGGTCCTTTTTTTTAAAACAATGAGCATTATTTACATTAATTATCTCATCCCCTAATACAAGTTTAATTAATAGGATCCTATCCTACTTTCTTGACATTACCTACTTGATCCTCTTAATCTTTGTCTACTATTATGCCTATGCCATTTCTATTATTATTATTTTTGTATATATCAAAGTTTATACCTATCAATTCTTTTAGGTTTTCCTCTTTTTACTTAGGTTCTTGTAGGCAAGCTATGTTTACTCTCATTTGTCTCATTGTATCCACTAACTCCATATTCTTACTTGTTAGCGTTCCTACATTCTATGTAGCTAGATGGATCCTATTCTCTTGGACTAGCTTATTTATCCGCCCTCGTTCAAAATATCGTGGGAACTCTTTTCCTATTCTTCACAACAACCGGGTGGCGCTGCGATGTGTTGCTTTCAAAGATCGCCCTATCTAACCCTTGCTCATTTCTTACTATAACTGGATTCCGATACAATGCGTCGCTTATGGGGAATGGCGTTGCGTGAGTAGATAATGTAGATTCAGGATTCATAGAAAGTTGCAGCTAAGTTTTACACTGGCTACCTACCTAACACGACCCTCCTCCTTTACTTGGGATTGGCATTGACTGGCAGGGGGCCGGCCAAGGTAGAATTAACATCCAGAGTTCAATAAAATGCTTAATTTCACTGGAAATGATCGTGTCTTTGAACATATTCTTCTTAAAACTGCATTTTTTGTAATGATCATCAATATAGGAATAGCCATTCAGGAGCCTTCAGTGGAAAGGCCAACCATAAAATTTATCAATTCATGAACAAAAGCATGTCATTGGTATTGAGAAACACTTGCTCTTAGGAACAAAACTACTATCCTTTGCAAAATATTATTTCAAAGCAACCGCACATGGTAATAAGGATGATTGTGCATCCAATCTTTAATGTTCTAGAACAAAAACAAAACAACATCGTTGTATCTGATTTTTATGCTTCAAGTGCATGAGTTCAGTATTAAATATGCATGCCAGAACATGGTCACAATGGACATAATTACACTTGAGTAAGGAGCTGGAAATTTGTTACGAGGCAAATTAAGTCATAGTCACTCTTGAGCTAGGAGAAGAAACTTGTTAGGGTGCAAGAGGAGAAATTGGAAAATTTGTACACTAACCATGCGTAATCTAGGAGATAGAAAATGGTTGGGGGGCAAGGTGCGGAAAGTCTGTAACAAGGCACATTGGCATTATTAGATGATTGTTTATAATTACAGGATTGTCTATAAAGAGACCATTTATCTTTTGTACATGGAGATTATTATCATTCCCACTCATTAGATGTCAAATTGGATAGTTTGGGGTGAGTCACGAAGTCTAAGAGTTTTTTTTTTGGAACTTTGTTTCTACTCAATGACAGTCCTACAATCACCTATTTTGAAATTTAAAAGGAGAAGGATGATGGTGACCTCCATCTACAAAAGATAAATGGTCTCTCTGTAGACAATCCCTATAATTACGTAGACCTGAATTTATGCTATGGAACTAACTCATTAGCAATCTGCCTCTGGCCATGTTAGTTAATGAGGTAATGTTGACATTGCATCTCCTTACTAATACTCATCACTCATGGCATAAATTTCTATAGTGCACTGAACACGTGGACAAAATCCACTAGAAAAAGAATGTCTAGTAACGTGCTGGTTTCTGTTATGGTATTCTTCTGGTCTTTATTTATTTGATCTCTTTTTATTTTTTTGTGTTTCGAGGGAGGCCAAATATTGGAAGTTGATGTTTTTATTTCACATGTACACATTTGCTTTCACAATTGTATTGCAGTGATTTGTAGCAGAATCATTGTGCTGCATCCACCAAAATAGCTTTTTTACGAAGGATTAGCACAATTTAACTCCAAAATTCTTAGCAATTTTAGTTTCTTCATCTTTTTTTGCAGATATGGAGCTGTTAAAGATGTTAGTAATGATGGCTACACGGATCCTATTGTTCCAAATGGATGTACTGCTGTTCACTTAAACCTTGTGGTAAGGATGGGCCAAACCAGTTGTTAAATAATCAACGATTGTGCTTAGACCCTATTTTCTGGGATCTCCTAATCCTAGTGCTGATCCTCCTCTAGAATCTTGCTCTTGCATGTCGGAAAAAGGATCTTCAAAGGATTTTGATTTTGAAATTTTGGGATCTTGATCCCCGCTGTAAGGGATCTCAAACCCCACTACTAGGGATCCTGATCACCACCTTAAAGACCAAGATGATGACCAAAATGATATTTTTCAAGCTAGCTAGCTATGCAACTATACTTTAATATAATTGCATTTCTTATTCGCAATAAACAAATAGATTCCGACTTAAAGAGTATGTGTAATCCTAGACTAGAGTATATATACTCTTTTTGGTAAGAATCAAGATCCCAAAAGGTTAGGATTGAGATCCCAAAAGGTGGGGATCGAGATCCCTGAATGGTTGGGATCGATATCCATCTATCCCTAACATATATATTGTATAGAGGATGCTCCTAAACATAGAAATCTTCTAGCCTTTCACGATCCACCCTCTCCCGATTCGCTTATGATCCCAACAACTATGGCTTGGACTCGCCCGAGTCGCTTGGACCATGAAGGGCGCCGCGGATGAATAACTGTAAAATTGGGGAAGTCTAACCTGCGTCCTGAAAGTTCATGTATTTCTTCATCAATACTTGGAAGAATTAGGGGATCCAACTCAGCCGAGTTTGCCTTTGACTTGGGCTCGGGACCTAGGCATGTCTGAGCCCAAGTCCGCATTTTTAAACACTGGTCTGTACTAAATTTGATCACTTGTTCCCTTTTAGTAAAATCCCATATATAGCATGTGTGCTTTTGCATTAGATCAAGTTATGCGAGTAATGGATGCTCACATTCCTTCCTCATTTTATGTTATGTATCATAGTTGGTTTTTTCTTTCTTTTTATTTTCCGCTTGAAATATCTTCAATTTGGACATTCCATGTCAGATTTATGCGTGAATGTGCCTCCCACATATTAATTGCTCTGTAAAAATTTTTATCTGAAAGTTTGTATATATCATATGCTTTTCTAATTCTTTACTCTTTTCTCATTGTTTAGTTTGTGGCGATTGACTTGCAACTTGATTTGGTTTTGTACTTTGGATTGCACGCATTAGCAATGCCTTGTAGTCATTTACAAAATGCTGATTTTTGTAGCAAAATTAGAAAAATGACATGCCATGTAATGATCTATAGAACATAGTATGCTGCTATAATTTTCCTTTACTTTGCAGGCAAGGCATGGTACACGTGCTCCTACCAAGAAACGTATAAAGGAGTTGGACCGACTGTCTGATCGTTTTAAAGAACTTTTGAATCATGCAAAAAGTGAAGTATCTGATGGTGACAAGTCCCTTGAGAGCATCCCTGCTTGGTTATGGACATGGCAGTCCCCCTGGAAAGGGAGAAAAAAAGGTGGGGAACTAATACCCCTGGGAGAGAATGAACTCTATGATCTTGGTCTAAGAGTCAGAGAAAGATTTCCAGAACTGTTCAATGAGGAGTATCACCCTGATGTTTTTCCAATCAAAACAACACAGGTGAGTGTGCCTTTCTTGTTAATGATATCAGTGGAGATTGTCTTTAAATTTCCTTAATTTTTCTTCAAGTTACTCTTGATTTTATTGGATATTTGTTGTAACTAAGCTGGATTCTGGCATCCAGTTTTGACGTGTCCTAAATTGGCCTCTAGTTCAGTATCATTGTTGATGCAAGTTTGATTGGAAGTTTCTCGTCACTATACTTTTGAGTTAGACAGAAGCAAATTTTATTTCAAGATAGATAGGAGTTTTGCCAGGCTGTATGTCTGGGACTTAACTTATACAAATTTGGAGCAGTCTAGAGAATGAAATAAGACACCAGAGAATCATACTTATCAAACTAATTTTGTGGTTCATTGACTATTTTTCCTCCACATGAATTAGTGGTTACTTTAGAGCAATATATGCTTTTCTTTTTATAACCAAATTTTTCCTCCACAGAAGCAAATTTTATTTCAAGATACATTGGAGTTTTGCCAGGCTGTATGTATGAGACTTAACTTATACAAATTTGGAGCAGTCTAGAGAATGAAATAAGACCCCAGAGAATCATACTTGTCAAACTAATTTTGTGGTTCATTGACTATTTTTCCTTCACATAATTAGTGGTTACTTTAGAGCAATATCTGCTTTTCTTTTTGGCAAATTTCAAAAACATAAATTGCTATGAAGCATAAAGTTTATTCCGTTTTTTCTAGTGTACACGTTTTTGAGGAATGTCATTGGAAGATGAGAGCCATTTGTAGTAAAATCTGTTGTTTTTTGAAGAATCTGCACTTCTCTTTTGTTGGAAAGCATTGTTAAACAAATATCTTTCTAAATATTTTAGTGTTCTAAAAGGCGCCCTGACCAGCGCCTAGGCTGACCAAGGAATCCAGGCCTGGGTGGGCCTTCTAGGCGGGGGTGTCCCAGGCCTGGACGGGCCTTTTAGTTTTGAAATTCAAAATTTTACTTGAAAAGTGAGACACATTAAAATTTTTAATTTGGTATTGATGGAAATTCTAGGTTGGCTTTGTGTATAAAAAAATTTCCCAATTTTATAGAGTTATTAAATTCTAAATCAAAATTACACTTTTTTTAAACCATTTTCGTTATGCAAACTTCTTATATTTGAATAACATTAATCATTCTTTATGAGTGAAAAAGATTTCAATTTTTTTTTATAAAAGGCCTTGATATTTGTCAATCTATTTCACAAATGTTAAGCCATAATCAAGGGTAGGTCAAATGACATTAGTTTGGACGAGAAACTCAAAGAAGGAGCCGAGATCAGGGTAGTTACCTTTCCATTTATAAAGGGGTGAGAACTATAAATTTCTAATTTAAAAATCCAAAATCCTAAGCATTGAGCTTGTCAAAAAATTGGATGGTCTCTTATCAATCTTATGATGTTACTTTTTCCAAGAATATATAGTGTTATTGATTTTTTTATTTCTCAGAGTTGATTGGTCCTAAATTTGCTCTTAAATTGGGTTTTATCCGATGTTATCGTCATTGTCATGGAGTTATGATGATTATATAGGCTGTGAAAAATGACTAGTAGGACAGCAGTGTTAATAATCTTTGGAAACATTCAAAAGATGGGAAAACATACCATATAATGATATAACTTAAAAGTCGTAGCATAATCAATATTAACAAAGTTTTTAGATGAAAAATATTGTAGGAGTCATGTGATCATAGCCACAACCATTATCTCGTAGTTCATCACGGTGCAATCAATCGGTTGGACAATGATGGAGGGGGTTGATTTTCACCATATATTCAACTAATTAATTTTTACATCCCTATTCTACCTACATCACTGTTTAGGATAGTTTATGACCTCATCATCACAAGGTTATGATGACCATATGGATCATATTAGATAGCTCATAGAAATTGATTAGTATTAATGTGTGTGTGTGTGTGAGAGAGAGAGAGATGTAAAATCGGCTCCAAATCGGAAAGACTCCCTCGAGTTGCAAATCCTTTGATAAATCCAATTGGCGCAATCTTTTAATTCAACTATATTTGAATCTTTCTTATTCTTACCTTCAATGAGATTGAAGTTGGTTATGCTTTCAAATTGTAATCTTTCCGTAGATAATTATTTTTTTTTCACATTGTAATAGTGCTCATCTCTTTTTTTAAATTTTCCATTATTAATTGCTTGCTTTTTAAAATTTGTGGGGGAGAGAGTGGTTGAGCAATAACTAAGGCGTGAAACGAATGTATCAAGAAATCCGTTCGGGTTTATGTCAGGGAGTTCAACTATCGAAGCCACTTTCCTATTTAGGTAACTGACTGAGAAGTTTGGGGCTAAGGGAAAAGATCTCCACATGGTCTTCTTTATTGATTTAGAGAAAGCATACGATAGGGTACCTATAGATTTATTTTGACGGATGTTAAGAAAGAAAGGAGTTACCAGAGGCTATATCGAGATAGTGAGAGACATGTGAGAGGGAGTGCTAACAAGTGTGCAAACAACTAGTGGAGAGACGAGTATGCATGGATGATAGGCCTTCATCAGGGGTCAGCGCTGAGCCTATATCCTTTTATTTTGGTTTTGGACGAGTTAATTAGGCACCTACAAGATAAGTTACTGTGGTGTTTGTTCTTCGCGGATGACATAGTTTTGATCGATAAGACTAGTGGCGATGTCAACACAAAGTTAGAACGTTGGAGGGATGCTCTGGAATTTAAAGGTTTTAAAATTAGCCGGACCAAGACAAAATATATGGAATGTATATTTAGTAATAATAGGAGTAGAAATGAGGAAGTAGTTAAGATTGATGGTCAAGAAATACTTAAAAGAGATTGTTTCCGATATCCAGGGTCGTTAATCCAAGAGAACAAAGAGATTGAAGAAGATGTCGCACATAGAATTAGTGCTAGGTGGACGGAGTGAAGATGTGCATTCGGAGTTTTATGTGATCGCTATATAACATTGAGACTGAAGGAGAAGTTTTATAGGACGACTCTAAGACCAGCTATATATAGGACATAATGTTGGGTATTAGGAAATAACATATCCATAAGATGAGCGTAGCTGAGATGAGGATATTGAGATGGAGTAGCAAGACAGCAAAAGAAAGGATTTGGAATGTATACATACGAGGGAACTTAGTTGTGGCTTCAATAGGCGATAAGATGATGGAAAGTAGACTTAGTTGGGCCAGCCATGTACAGCGTAGACCTAATACAACATTGGTTAGGGGGTGCGATTTGGTTCAAGTGGAAGACTTTAAAAGGGCAAGGGAAATACCCAAAACATGGATAGTAGTGGTGAAAAAATTTATAGTGATTTGATCTTATTGAGGGTATGGCCTTGAATGGAGAAGAATAGAGGAACACGATTCATGTAGTTGACCCCAAATAATTGATATAAAGATTGGATGATGATAATAATTTCTTGTTTTCTATATATCACAAAGAGTATGCCAAACCTTGCAAGATAGTTTGAGTGCTAATACAATCTATTGTTAATTGAATAGACTGCTATAATCACCTTAAAATGAAAATAAAAAGAAAATAAGATGTGCATTTTTCATTGTGTACAATGTAAGTTAACATTGTATTATCACAATTTACAATGCCATAGACCATGGGCAATGCATATGCGCACTCTAGTCATCTACAGTATATATTTAATGAATAATACATTTTCCATTGAAAGGACTATCTCAACCTTCAAAATAATTAAACTTCTTTTTGAATTGATATACTGAATATATATCACAAATTGTGGGCAAATTTGAAATAAGAGGGCATTGAGCATGTCAAGAGGGAGTATGTAGTAACAAATAATGTAAGAGAGATGGAGAGCACTTGGTTGAAGAGAGACAGAGCACTTTGTTGAAAGTATTTTTTTCTTGCTGATGAGTTTATGTAAAGAATGAATGGACACCTTTAAGAAGTGCATCCATGGCATGTGGTGGACCCCGTTGGAAGCCACAGGTCCTATAGGCTCAAAGGGACATAAAAAACCTTCCTTTAAATTTCAATGGTTTAAAGTGTGAACCCATCAGCCACAACCATTCTAAATGGTAAAATATTTTTTACATAACTTTGAAAAACAAGTTCGGATTCATATGTGACCATTTGCACTGATGTGCATGTAAGAGAGCTATGATGTGTCTCTCTTTGAAAACTGTTCCATATTTGTCTCTAAACTTTTTAAGTGCTAAAAAATCCTTTCCTTTAAAATATATGAATGATCCAAATGGCCATGATCTTTTAATAGAATTTTGAACAAGTCCAAATTTTTTAACAAATACCAAATTCTCTGAAATAAAAAAGAAAAGTGCATTAGTAAAATTAATTGACATGAATTAATATCCAACTTTTTTTTGAATTAAGTCCAACATTATTTCATCAGTAGGGTCTTAAACTCCTCGAATTTTTGAGTGGCCATTATTTTAATGAAGGTTGTGTATATCGATCGTCATTTATATTCTCTTGTGCTGACAATTTTTTACCGTGTAAATAAGTGTTTAATATGGTATACCTCTTTTTACACTTGATTACTGAAGAAAATGTTCACTTCTCCTTCGTCTTCATCATATTCTCTTTGGGTCGATGTATTAGTTTTTTATTTTTGTCATTCAGTGAAGAGCACTATTGGTATATTCTTGCCAGAGGAACTGACTTTTATTAGTATTCACATAGAAACTTTTCTTAGTGCGATGAAGTTCCTGATTGTCTGCCTTGCCTTTGTTACTTTACATGTTTTTCAACTGATTTTGAGGCTCATGCTTAAGTATAAATTTACAGGTCCCTCGAGCATCTGCTAGTGCTGTGGCATTTGGCATGGGTCTCTTTTCCGAAAGGGGGAGTCTTGGGCTAGGACGCCATCGTGCTTTTGCGGTTACCAGTGAGAGTCGGGCAAGTGACATTCATCTGAGGTTCTATGATACTTGTGCAACATACAAGGTGAGGATATCAAATCGTTCCAGTCGGATGATGAAAATTTTGGATCCAAAACAGATTATTTGTAATTCATGCGGTCTCAAAGTTTAGAATGCAGCTTGAATTGATTTCGGCATTTTGTTTCTAAAGTTTTAAATATAGTCTCATTAATTGAGGACCGACTCCTTGACTTTAGAAGTTTTTGATCGTGAGCAGGCCATTGCTGCATGACATGGTTATGAGTGCAATCTACATTCATGTAGGATTTAAATTAGGGAAATTTATCAAACTACCCATAAGAGATAAACTATTTAATATTACCTTTTGCAACTATTTCATGCCATGGTCTTTGGTTTTTTGATGGGTATTTTGAAATTAAATCAAAAGTACAATGTTAAATAAATAATTCACATCTCGTGGTTATTTCAATATATTTCCCTTCAAATTATTTAGGTGGTAGCAGCCTTGTCTTTTTTATGGTTCAGGATGTCTTGGCTTGCTTGTCCATCTATTAAATGGAAGGATGAATAAATGCCCTATCTTTTTTGAGGTTTTCCTTTTTATCTCAGTAAAAAGAAATAGTCTGATAAGCTGAGTAACCTCTGCAAATTATGACCTTGGGACTAATTCCCTTGAGCTTGAGTCCAGTTTGCTTTATTTGTCTTATGGTGGGGGTTTTCTTAGATGTTCTCACAATTTTCTTTTCTTTTTTCCCCAATTTTTTTCCTTGGCATTGCAATAGCAATACAGACAAAGTCAGGAGCCTTCAGTGGAGAAGCGTAAAGAACCTGTTTTTGCAGAAGTTTCTTCTGCCTTAATTAAGCGCTACCAGCTCAACTTCACCATACAGGATATTTCTTCCCTTTGGTTTCTCTGTAAGCAGGTAAATTGCATATGTAGCACCCTTTTAAAGTTCCTTTGCCATTAAGATCTAGATGTCTTAAATCTTGCTGGGGGAAGGCACAATACTTTTATATTTTTCTTTTTCTTCTGAGAGCGAATCAAAGAAATTGGGAAAGTCCCAACAGGATAACATTCTCCGCTTCTAATTACATTTGAAAAGCAGCTTTTGCATTCTTACCTTTGGAATGAATTAATCCTCCCACACAAAAATGGTTGAAATTCTTGGCTTATGTAGCAAGCTTCTCTAACCATTAAAAAATAAAATAAAAATTGCAGGAAGCTTCTCTGCTTGACAAAACTGATCAAGCTTGTGCACTTTTCAGCCCTGCTGAGGTAAAATGAATTTTATGCCTTTATGGTAGATAGTTGGTATTTATTGTGTTTAATGAATCATTATTGTTGGGTTAGTAATCCTGAACATTACATAACTTGGTTGTGAATGGCTTGACATCTTAGGTTGCATTACTTGAGTGGACAGATGATCTGGAGATATTTATATTGAAGGGTTATGGTGAATCACTAAACTATCGCATTGGAGTACCATTGCTCAAGGATATTTTTGACTCCATGGAACAGGCTATTGTGGCTAGGGAAGGTAATGAGAATTTGGAAAGAAGGCCCCCCCTCTTTAGTGGCTATTGGGAAACTATTATAGTGCTTGCAAGTTAGTATGTCATAGTTTATTAAATTTTCTGTTACTGGGGATTTTCTATTACCACTTAGGTCCAATTAAGTTTCAACTTATTCTTGGACACTGAATGCTTATTGAATACCAAGGTTTCGGTGGGAGTTGGTCACTTCAGGGGTTCAGTAGTTTAATGTAGCACATGTGCAAATAGAATGATTATAGCAGAATGGCCATTGCAAGAGCATGCTTAAGCATCTAAAGCATTTTGAGGAATCTGCTTGTATTTAAGTAGTTAACTCGTAATGGCTAGAACCAATCCCTCTTGGATGATCTTGATATTCAAAAACTTGGGAAAGTAGAACTCATTGTAAACCAGAGTTTATCTGTGTTCCTTTTACTTTACAAGGCTTCAGCATCTAGCGTGAACGTATTCCAAGCGGCATAAGTATCTGTAGAGACTAAAACAAGAAAAGTGCACAAATGCTAGTCATAACAATGATAATTATGACAAATAAAACATGATATTTGATTGGGTTGGATAGCTCAACATCCTCCCTGTAACTCTCTTCCCTTTCAATTCTTTTATATATGTTCCTTGCCCCCAACTTTTTGTAAATTCTCATTTATGATGGTTTAGTTGTTGAACTAAGTTTCCCATTTCGCCGTCTTTCTTGGAAATGCTGGGATATTCAATTGGGAATTGTGCTTTGTGCGCCAACCACAATTGTTTCTCCATTTTCCTTTTACTTATTTCAGAATCAAATTATACAAGCAGATTGTGTATTTTGAGTCATCTTCTTGCTTAAATAATTTCTGATGATATTCAAAATTTCTTGAGTGAGGATTTTCTTTTGAACTTGTGGTGATGATGGTTGCTTGGGACACACCGTTGTTGGCAAATATTCACTAGAATGGAGATTTTGGACTACACTTGATGGTGCTGATTGAAATGCCCATCCCATGATGAAGTCGCTCATATTTTGTCAGGTGGGGTGTGATGTAGAATTATTTGTATTCTCATTATTATGAAGTTAAAGACTCTTAGATGAGTTACTGTAACTTGGAGATTAGGGTGCTTCTAAACATATGAGAAGCAAACTATTGCTATCGGGGGATCACGGAGTGGATGTAGGAATATCTGTCTACATATCTCCTTAGTGCTTTACCAGTGGATACAATAGCCATTCCATAATAGCACATGTTTTACTGTTGATTCTGCATTGTCTGTTTAATGAGCACATGTTTTGAAAAACCATTGTTGAGCTATTTGTTATGAGCTATCCTTTTTGAGGCATCTCCTTAATAATATATTATTTAATTTTTCCAGAGAACCATCCTTTGGGCACATATGAAAAAGCAAGACTAAGATTTGCTCACGCGGAGACTGTGATACCATTCACATGTCTGCTTGGGCTATTTCTAGAAGGCTCAGGTGAGTTAAGTTAGGGGCATATTTTATAATCTGGCAGACTATGGGGGAACCTTTTATTATTGGTTCTTTCCCATGATGGATATGAAGAGAGGATGCTACCCACAAGAACATGACATCATTTCTGATGTTCAGTCCCCCTCTCTAAATAACTGTCCTATCATTTCAATGGACAGTGATGACCTAGTGGACGCTGATTTAGCCTAGTCTACTGGATTATGATATGATCTTCCTAAATAATTTTGTTATCTGGAATGTCCCTACCTTTTTCAGTGCCTTTCAAAGTAAGAGTTTGTGGCATTGATATATTACTCTAGTTCTTCTCATGACATTGCAAACTGGGTTTCTTCCTAGAGTTTGAGACAATACTGAAAGAGAAGCCATTGGAGCTACCTTCAAAACCTCCCAAAGAAAGGAAATGGAGGGGGAGCATAGTTGCACCATTTGCAGGAAACAACATGCTTGTGCTTTATGAGTGTAAAGGCAACAGTTCTAAAAGCACGAGACAACCTGATGAGAACACGAGGAAGTACTTTGTGCAAGTTTTGCACAATGAAAAACCAACTTTGATGCCGGTACTTATCCATAATAAGAAATATCACTATGTTTTCTTTTTTGTTGTAAATTATATGATCATTTGTGTTTCTGAACTATAAGGATGTGGCATAGTGTAGTGCAGTTTTTTTTAACAAGAAGATTGGTTTTAATGATTTAATATGTTGATCTAGTCGTATAGTGATTATGTGCTAATGAGAACTAATGTGGTGATTTATGGCCAGGGCTGTGGGAATAAATACTTGTGTCCTTTCGACATTTTCAAGGTATTATGTATTTTTTATTTTTAGAATGAGTATTTGTACAAACTGGCCATTCCTTTTTTCACTAATACATTTTCATGTTGTTTCAGGAGAATGTTGTTAATCCCCATCATAATCATAGCTTCAATTTGATCTGCAATGCAAGAGTGGAGACAACAGAAACCTGTTCAATTGCATGTAAATTCATGAGGTTTTTCAGTAGGCTCTTCTTTTTCGAGGGGGCTGAGAAATCGAATTCCAGTGAGCAAGGCGAGTTGTAAAATGTAAATTCTCAACAAACGTGAGCCCCATTGCAGTTTTGCAGTTTTGACTTCTTTATCATCATCATCATCATCATCCAAGCTTTATTCCAATTATAAAAGGTTGGCTACATCAATCCTGTTCCGTAATTCTGCTCTATCAAAGGCCAGACCTGCAGGTTTGATTTTATATGTTCCTTTATTCTCTCATATGAGTCTCTCTGTAACTGACCTTGGTTTCTTATCCCTCCTAGGAAACAAAAGGGTTAATTTTCTTAAAGCCATCTTTCTCTCTCTCCCAGGCACACATTCATTGTACTTATAGGACTCCATGTATGTCGTATGTCATTTACGAGAATGAATGGCATTTCCAAATACCCAGAAAAAGGTCAGGTATATTATTGTAATCTGGTGGATGAATAATGTTTACTCCCTCATGCGAAAGACGAGATGATTTTTTTGAACTCAAATTTTGAGAACCACCCAAGAATCACTAGATGATTGTTTCCAAAAGAAAATTTTGGTTATTTTCAAGTTCTAACACTTGAATCTCATGCCAAAAAGTGGACTGTTTATATTCAATCCCAGTGTATTTTTTTTTGAGCATATAGTGTGATTTGGAAAATTTTCTTATTATTATTATTATTTATGTTAATTTATGGGTTGAAGGGATTATATGTCCAAAATTTGGGGCCTAAAAAGTACTCTTAGTTGATGATTTACCCTAGGGAGTCCATGAACAATAAACTATTGTGGAAGCACCGAAGCACAAAGTCTTTTGTAAAGAAAATTGAATGACTGGTTGTTCAAGGAGAGCATATACTATATTTAAACCTACTGATATGTAGAAATGTGACCAATAAATATGCATGCTGGTGTTAGCTCACACAACATTTAAATGAGTTATGACATTTTTTTTGTGCGCGCTTGTGCATTTCTGCGTGGTTTCTATTAGGTTGCAACCTTGCACAATCCAATTAAGGTGCACTTCCAAATTTTATCATAACATGTAATTTTGGTATAAATTTTTTTTAGGATTATTTGAATATCTTTTGTCATATCTAATTATGAAATTTTGAACTCCAAAAGTAGTTAAAATCAACTAGATCTATAAACATATGAAAATCTTGAAAATGAATAGTCTAGATAATGTGTTACAAGATGCACTATTTTTGGGATTCAAAATCTTTTTCTTTTTTCATATTCATACATCTTGATGTCAAGATGATCAATTAGAGAGTTTTTTTAACATTAAAACAATCTTTTTTGATGGATTTTTGAGGTGCATTTTTAATTCTACATTTTAAGGTTGCAACCTTACATAAATTATGTTGAGGGTAAAACACATTTTGCTCCGTAATTTGATCAAATTATTCGTCCATCCAATTCGAGCTTGATTATTTCTTTATGATGATATATAATTGTTTGTTATGTCATTGTTGGAATTATTCATCCAGCTAATGCAAACTTCCAATAGGTGTGTGATTAATGGATATTTGTTAATGCGTTTGCCATGGTGTAAATTGAAGTAGGAAGAATTTTACTACCATTGATACCGCTCAGAAAAAGAAAAAAGAAGTGATGTTAAGGTAATAGTGATCTTTACCAATTAATTCACATAACTTTTGAGACATTGGAGGAGACCATTGCATTTTCGTTGATAGAATTAGAAGAAAAAAAGGCGGTTGGCATGCAGGCTAGCCTGCACATATAGAAATGCGGGCCTTGTAATAAATCTATTTTTGAAATGGATTTTTAGATTTAGTTTTTTTGATATGTAATCTCTGATATGGAGATCATGACTATGAAAAAATACATAAATTTTAAAAACTAGAAATAATAATTCTATTGAGAAAATATTTGGACAGTTAGTTTCAATTGTTTTTAAATGGATTATATATTAGCATCCATCTTTAAGATGGATGCTTTATACTTCTGGACCACATAAGTAGAAATGTGATCCAGCCCGTGTGAGACAATTTTCCAAAAAGAAATGAGATAGTTCCTTTATCTAATGAAAGCTACTGTTAAAATTTAAAAAGAAAAAAGAGAGTATTTATATACACCATACCCACGTTTGTTGGTGTTATGTAATCTTCATTAACAATTTCAATAATTTGCTTCTTGCTTTTTAAGGAAGTGTTGGTACGTCTTTCAAATCTATACCATTAAATAAAATAAAGGGAAAACTATAAAAAACCCTCATAATAGACATCCTATATGGAACTTATCCCCAATCAAACTTTTTTTCCTATTTTTTACCCCAAAATAAACTTTCTTAACAAATAACCCCCAAGTAAAAAAAGTATATATTTTTTTGACAAAAATACCTTTTTTCCTACATAAAAAATTAAATTTGGCCGGACATTCATGTGGGCTTACGTATAGTACCAAAAGCTACATAGGCTGCCAGATCGCCATGTACCAATTGTTGGAGCCCATAAAACTAAAAAAGAGTTGGACCGCCTTCATTATTTGCCGGACCGCATATAGATATGCCATACCACAGGTAGATCTGTCGGACCGCATATATAAAAGTGCCGGACAGCCACATAGATCTGTCGGATCGTATGTTTCTTTGGGAATAAAAGTGCCAGACCGCCATAGGGATATGCCAGACCACATTTTGTCCAGGTAAAAAGTGCCGAATCGCAATGTACATTTTTCAAACTACATGTTTATCTAGAAAGAATGGTGTGGGACTGACCACATTTTTTCCAGGTAAAAAGTGCCGGACCGCATGTTTATCCATAAAGAATGGCGCAAGACCGCCATGTATATCTACCAGACCACTCTTTTGTCTAAAGGAGAGAGAGGATGTGGGTAAAAGTCAAAGAAGGGTGTTTTAGCCTTTTTTTTTTTTGGTTAGAGAAGTATATTTTCGAGTAAAAAATGGGAAAAAAAAGTTTGATTGAAGATGAGTTGCATAAAAAGTCTATTGTTAAGGGTTATTTATAATTTTCGCTAAAACAAACAAGGTAGATTATTGCAACCATAATTCTGCAACCTAATATAAATTTTTTCCTTGACTGAATTGTGTACTTTTTATGTAGTTTGCTCTCTATTATATGCTCTTTACGTCAATAGTTCGCTTTCTAATATGCTTTTTATGTGAACTGTATTCAAGTAAAACATTGTATTTACAACGGGTAAAACTATTATCCATAACCATACAACAATCTATCGAATGGGTAATTGTTACCCGATAACCTTTTTTTGATAGGTAAATTGGGATATGAATATTTTATTTAGATAACTTTTTTTGCTAGGTAAATTGGGATATGGATTTTTATTTATTATTATTATTATTTTTAATTTTTTGAAGATCATTTGGGATATGATTCTCTGAAAATCAATCAGACCATAACCACTGTGATAAATGGCTGAAAATGATACTAGGTAAATTGAGATATGAATCTTGGAACTAGTTGCTGTAGTAAATGGCTGATCCACAAACTAAATCGTAGGCCGTTGACCAATTTTATTATCTTTCACTAGTTTATGGTAGATAACTGCATTCATCATCATCATCATTGTCAAAGCCTTTTTTCAACTAATTATGGTTGGCTATACAAATCTTGAACCGCCATTCCGCTCTATTAAAGGCCATAACTTCAGTGAGAGGCAAATAACCTCATTGTTTTCTTGAATATACATCCATAGTAGAGAACCACATGGCATCTTTTCAATTCTATGAAACTAGCAAAAGACAATATTATCATGTTAGAAAAAAGATACAAGCAAAAAACGGTTAAAATGGATAGACAATTACAAACATAAACAATCACAAGAGTCTAAATGAGTTACGCCTTTGTTCAAATTGTGATAACCCAATTCATCTGAGGTACTTCACTACAGTTCAAACCCCAATGCAGAAAAGAAAATAAGCTCTTGACAGGCAGGACTGTAAAACTCAGTTTCTGCAAGGGGTCTAATCTCCAATTACTCTTTGTTTTTTTAACTTGTCTTTTTTTTTCTCCTTTTTTTTTTAATTAGGCTCGTCCATGCCTAGTTCAGACAGGGCCAGGGCCCCTTCGGCCTGGTCGGGCTGGCCTAGGACCGGCCCTATAGGAACGTGAGCCGGGCCTAGCCCATTGCCAGCCCTACATAAAACATGCTAAATATGAATACCAAAGCTGCACTCAACCAGAGTGTTCCAACCAATTATGCTACAAGTAAATTTGCGAGAAAACAGTGTTTCACAGTTAAACGAGACAAAAACTACTGTTTCTTGCTGTTTTGGGCTATTAACTGTACAAGTGGATTGACTAGATCTTCATCTAATGTTACAGAACTTCAAGAAATGGATAACAGTAAAGCTAAGTAATTCCCCGTGTTTGGTTAGGCTCTTCTTTTCCCACGATGAACTTAAAAGGTTTACCTCCCTTAATATGAAGGGAACTATGTTGGGCAAAATGTTACCAGAAACCTAATTTAGAAGCAAGAATCAAAAGGGGTATTTGCCTCAATAGTACTCATTCTGTGGAGGCCAGCTTATCTTCATCAACTTCGAAAGCTTTCCGTGCTTGTTTGAGTTCTTCATTCATGGAAAGTAGCTCAGTACATCGATTGAGTTTGGGCATATCCTGCTTCATTCGACAACACATTACGGCAGAATAAATGTGCAAAAACACAAAGCATGCACATGTATATAGGAAAAAGAGTGTATCAGCCCAAGGGCTGATGCAATAGAATAAGAGTAACGGTCTAGATTGAATCTAGGTAGATGGGATGGCTACAACCATGTTTCATCTTTGAATTATATTTTATTTATTTTTTTGAATTATATATATATATTTTTTTATAAATCTAAATCACTTGAAATTTAGAAGATCTAATATAAAAAATAGGTGCACCTATTAAAAATATTAAAAAATAATTTACAAAATATTAATTAACCTAAATTCCTCTAAAAGTTTTAGGGGTATTATCATCATCGGAAAAGCTCTGATAATGATGATGATGTTATCAAATTCAAATTCCTCCTCAAATTCGACTTCAAAACCAACTTCTAATTTATGTATGGAGAACTGTAGTAAGGGGGGATGCGGTAGCTAATTTGGACAATTTGAGGAATGGCAAGGGTCACAAGGAGGATCATGGTATTTCTAAATTTCGAGAAGATGGTAAAATTAGTAGTGCGTCTCAACATCCAAAGCTATTGAGCAGGGCTTTGGAAAATGGTGAGATTGATACATGTACTTCACCCTCATCTTTTGATGGGTATGCTTTGTTTTTTTTTTTTCTTGTTGAACATTAACTGTTAGTAGTGGATTAGCAAATTGAAACTTTTAGTAGTTTTCGAAAGGGGATAGCATTGGTAGGAATAGAAACTGAGACCAGTAGCTGAGTCACAGGTGATACCACCTTGACCTCAACCAGGTCAACCCCAATAGATAAAGGAAAATGTGGGGATTGAAGGGTATTTTGATAGAAGGAAAGATATTCTTTCGAAGGTTACTTTGAAGATGGTGAAAGCCATGAAAGTGAAGATAAAGAATCAGAAGGAAGAGGCTTCAAGGAATTTGAATTTGATAACATCCAAAATAGTAGTATCTTTTAAATTTCTCATGTTTGCTGACCATAAGCTAAACATTGTTACGTACTGAAACATTTGTTTTTTAAGGATCTTTATTCTAAAAAAGCCAAATCAGGGTCCAATATTGAACTCCAATCAACTCAACAAACTCTCAATAGCATCTGGCAATATCCCAAAGAAACTCAAATTCTATGCATTAAAAGGCACACCTTAGACCCTGATTTTCACAAGGAATATAGGAGACATGGTCAGTAGGCTTCCACAGAGTGTCACAAGCCTGCCTCGTACTTGCCAACAGTTTTGGTTAACGGCCCTCTGAGCATCATTTTCAGAGCCCAGAACCTTTCCACCAGGAAGTATTTTAAATCTCAGGATCATTAAGCAAAACCCAAGCTCTGCTAACCCAACCCTTCAAACCAAAAGATCCTCCAAGGGAGGGGAAAAAGATCCTACCACACAAGATCTTGTGGCTTACTCCTCTCCTTAAGAACATCGTCACGAAAAGACTTATCGTCACTTACACTTCAATCCGTGGAAGTGTGCATTGGTAGGCTGCTCACAACCACAAGATCTTGTGTGCTTATTTGTCTCCTTAAGAACATTGTCACAAAAAGACCTATCGTCACTTACACTTCAATCCGTGGAAGTGTGCATTGGTAGGCTGCTCACAACCACAAGATCCTGTGCGCATACTCGTCTCCTTAAGAACATCGCCACAAAAAGACCTACCATCACTTACACTTCAATCTGTGGAAGTGTGCATTGGTAGGCTGCTCACAACTTTTGATAGAATAGCATTTTTAGCCTTGCTTCCTTTTGGACTTCGAAAATGCCAGAGAGATTATTGCCCGTTCGTAAGGTTGTTTCGAAGGAAAGGAAGGATGTCTCAGTGGCTGGGATCCCACCAGAGGAGCAGGCTGTTCCGCTGGTTGTTCTTGACCGTATGAAAAAGGCGGTTCCTGGCAGAGAGAAAGGTGAATAGTCCCAACCATGGTTTAAAATGCGACTGCATCGCCGCCTAAAGCATTATGCACTGGGCAGCGCATTGCAACATGCCGTATGCACTTTTGAGAGATGCGCCCACATATGCGCCGCATCTCTCTGCATATGCGGTCTTATCCTGCATAATGCGCATATGCGGTCAGTCATTTAATGAAAAAACACAAACCCTTGAGCAGGGATTTTTTGGACATTTTGAGCCCCGAGAAAAGGAGGGAAAGGGTTTGGCAGGGTATTACAACTGAAGACAGCCACATCTGTGCCTTTTTTATGAATCAAATCAATTTAAAAAAAAGTGGCAGAAATTTTTTTTTTGTAAAGTTCTTAGATTTGAAATTTAAAATCCCAAGACTTGAGAGTTAAGAAATGATGATGATTTGTCTTGAGCTTGACTTTTGAACTCTTTAATCTTCATAGAATTTTAGTTTGTGTTTAGTAACTTTAAAGTTTGTAGTTGCAAAATTGTGATTATGGTTGTTGAATGTTTTATGAAGCTAGTTTCAAGTTTCTAATTTCTATCAAGGGATAGTTGATACAGAATCTCCGACATGCGACAATTGATACTTTTGGAGTTAATGAATTAACTAAATACCTATTATCACATAAATCACCTCCATGTTGTTTTCTAAGCATTAACCTATATTTTAGATTTTTTAGAATTTTTTCATATCATTGACCGCATCGTGGCAATGCACTTGCATCTAAACCACATCGCTACATCGCCTCTCCCCCCCCCTTCCCCCCAATTCATTGGGCGGCATCGCGCCTTTTAAAACACTTGGGGATCGAGGATGCAGATCAAATGGAGACGCAGTATGAGGATTTGGAGGGTGATTATCAGGGTATGCTTGAAGACATGGGAGTGGGCTATAATGAACCAATTTCAAAGGTGGTGCAAACTTTCAAAGTGAAGATAAAGAAACAGAAAGGAGAGGCTCCTAGGAATGGTGATACATCATACAGTTACGAAGGACTAGGTGTGTGATCCTCTGGGTGAGGATTGGTTAAAGAGAAAAATGGCGTAACGTTTGAAAAGGGTAAGGTCCAGTTGAAAGAGATTGTTAAACTGACTCAGTTCTTCGTTTAGAGTAGTAGCTCAAAGGGCAAGAGTGATGAGAGTGAAAGAGAGAAAGATTCTAGCTTGCTGTCTACATGTCCACAAGTGAGGAGTTTGCCACCAGATATGGTTCGTCTTCTGTTTTCATGAAGATTGTTAGTTGGAACATTTGGGGCTAGGGAGATGGCCAGAGGAAGGCAGAAGTGTTAATACTAATTAAAAAATAAGGCCAAACATCCTTTTGTTGCAGGAGACTAAGCTACCAAGTCCTGATGTTCTTAGTGCTAGAACAATTTGAGGTAGTGGATCGTTAGGCTTTGCTGGGATAGATGTCTTGGGTGCCTCGGGTGGTCTATAGGTTTTGTGGGATCTCTCTCTTTGTCATGTATCGAGGGATAGGTCTTAGTTATTGTCTTTGAAGGTCATTTTCCTAACTTTAACGGGCTCTTGGTCAATGTTCATGGCCCTACTGTGGCAGATCAACAAAAGGAAAATTTTGAATGAACCTCAGATTTTGTTTTGGGTTTTCAATTTTTAATATTTAGAACTACAATTTGAAAAACATGACTGAGTTTCTCCAAGTTGAATGTTTAACTTGCTGAGTCGGATTTGGCATCAACCATAAAAATTAAGTTTCTGAAGTGTTATACAGCTTTGGCATCAACCAAAACTTCGAGTTTCTGAAGTGTTATAACAACTGTTACAAAATATTCAGATTTGCATACTACATTATAACTGCTATGAATAGTGGCCACACTATACTGGTTTCCAAAGGTAAACAAGAAAAAGGTGCATAATTTGTTGAAATGTCTGTTATGCTTATTGTAGTACAAGATAACAACAATATTCTAATACCATTAATTTGGAAGTAATTAATGGACACTAAGTCATCATAACAATATTTTTCAAATTGTGATAATTATTTAGCTGTTGCTTCTAATATATCACATGTTCTATAATGACCATTTCCATTTATTGACAGTATCTCTAACTTCATATTTCTCGAAAAGCTACTCACTGTATCCTGCATGGAAACCAGGTTTCTTTTGTGATACCGTGTTCTATCCTGTAGCTGTGGTCAATACAGGAGACTATGATGTTTCCACGGCTAGGAATGCTTTCAACACCTTCACTGATGGTAATGCCCTCATTAGGCTAAAAACCCGAGGCCACACTACTTCATTTGCTCAGTTCCTATAGTACTATCCATTGCCAAAGCTCGAGGTCAATGTTAAGTCTCCAACAATTGCACCATCTACTGCACCCTTTGGTGCATCCGAAGAGTATTTGGCACCAACCAGGGCGCAATTGTGGATCGACATGGTTTGAAAAACTAGCACCAATTTCTATCAAAGTCAATATACATTCCATCTGTGATCATGATCCCTTAAAGAGTTCAAGATCCCCTAAATAATTTATTCGAGATCCACATTACAAATTACAATAAGTCGAGATCCCTATGCGAAAAGGATCGATACAGGATCAAGATCCTTGAATAGGGGTTGGGAACACTACATGACATGGATGGAGATCCACAAATATGGGGATCGAGATCCACAAATAGAGGGATTGAGCTCCCTGACTAGGGGAATTCCCTACAAAATAGGGATCGAGATTCCTTAAACAAAGGATTGAGATCCTCGAAAAAAAAAAGGGGCTCTAATAGAGATCCCTGATTAGGAACTCGGGAGCTGGTTTCGAGAGCTGAAACTTTGCCCTTAAGGGAAAAATTACAAAAACGCCCCCAAAGCAGGCTTTCTAGACAACCTCCCCCATCCACTTTTTTTTTCGCAACTTTTACCCCAAAACTAACTTCTATAGCAAATACCCCCCAAGTCAAAAAGTCATAGTTCCTTAAATAAAAATGCACTTGTCCATACATGATGACGTCACATCCCTGTCGGATGCTCAATGACCAAAGGCGGTCTGGCACATATGCTTGCCGGACCGGTATCTATGTCAAAAGAATAGTCCGTCACACAACCCATGCCAGTAGACTCACTGCCAGACCGCGGCAAAAGAGTGTCGAACCGACAGTGCACATTGCTGGAGCGAGATTTCACTAGCCAAACTGAGATCAATACACCTATTACCGGACTACCACACAACGTTGCTGGACCGACAACACCTTCTGCGGGACCGCCAAAAGACTATGCCCGACTGAGTGCACCCCCTACCAGACCGGCAGGCACATGTGCCAGACCATCTTTTGTCATTGAGCATCCTACGGGGATGTGACGCCATCATGTACGGACAAAGGCATTTTCGTTTAAGGAACTATGACTTTTTGACTTGGGGGGTATTTGCTATAGAAGGTAGTTTTGGGGTACAAGTTACAAAAAAAAAATGGTTGAGGGGAGGCTATCTAGAAAGCCTGCTTTGGAGAGGTTTTTGTAATTTTTCCAAAAAAGAAAAAAGGCTCCGATAGAGATCCCTAATTAGGAACTTGGGAGCTGGTTTCAGAAGCCCCAACTTTGCCTTTAAGGGGCGGCGATCTGGGTAATCCAGTGCCTGACTATCTCATATATATGGTCAGATATACTTTTATTTCTTCGGTATCACTTGGGTCACACTGCGGAATGTAAGACCATGCTACTCACAACTTTCCTCTACTCTCCTCTCCCTAAACAAGCTGCAGTCCTTGGAAAATATCAGCCTTTGCTATGCGATGGGTTGTCTGAAAAGAGAGGAATAGTCATCTTTTTCAAGGAACAAGCCACTCCCTGATCACCATTGCAAAGTGCCTGAAATCTGTTACATACTTTGGGCCATGAAAATGCCTGTCTATGCTTATGTGGGATCCTCCACCTTTCCAGTTTGGGAAACATTATACCTCTGTTATCTCCATTCTCAGGACTCAACCACACCTCTGTTCTCTCCATTCTCAGGATTCATTGGACACATTGACTCTACCACGGCTGAGTCAGTAGCCCTCCTGGAAGGCTTCAAGCAGACCTTAGCAACTATTGGATACCTGGGGAACCCAATAGTGGAAGGGGACTTGAGAAACGTGATACCTGGGGACCCCCTTGGAGATTGGGTCACCTGTTTGATCACATATCTCACCTTTGTAGGGTATCTCAAGTCACTTTCATCTACATGTGGGAAGCCAACACCAGTGTTGATAGATTTTCCAAGGAAGGAGATGCAACAGGATCATCGCCTTCGTCAACAACCAGCTAAGGAGCCATTCTTGGCAGTCTCTCCCTCTTGCCCTCGTATTCTTCCTTTCTGAGCCTCTCTCCCACTCTCGCTCTCTCTCCCATCCGTAACTCTCTCCAACCCTTTGCTCTCTTTCTCCCTCCCCTCTCTTCACCCTCTAAGACATGTAGTACAGCACACCACTCGTGGGCTGTTCTTTTGCAGCTTTGGAGTTCTGTACCTGGTTCATGGGCTGCCTTATTTTGCTCAATTTTTCTCAGAGCAGCCTCTATGAGGGTTGCATATCGGGTGTTACTTTTTTCTATGTATTTAATACAATTGACTTCTCTCAAAAAGAAAAAAAATTTCAGGGATGAAAGGTGCATATTTCTGTATTTGTGTTTCCTTTCAATTACATACTTTGCTTAGAGTTGTAAGATGTTGGTCATGCTTCCTTGGATCATAGACCTTGTAAACCCTATTGCTCCTCCCTAACAGTCAATCTTCTCAGTTCAGCTAGAGTTCAAGACTTAATTAATCCCTTGAAAACGTCAAGGCATCCAATGCTCATCCATTTATGAAAGGGTGTGGTTTGTATAGAGCCTAGGATCTAAACAATCAAATTAGAGCCTACCTTCAAATAGTGTCAAGAAATGTGGTTTTAATATTGGATATCTTTTTGATAGCCTTAAAATATATTTTCATATTTATTTATAAATTTTAAAGCTTCAAAAATAGTGTAGATCGACATATCTATGAAAACTTGAAAATCTTCAAAATTGACGGTCCAAAAATGTGTTACATAATACACTATTTCCAAAACTTGCAATCCATTTTTTTTTTATGTCCATGCATCTTGATGTCGAGATGATCAATTTGAAGATAATAGGACATCAAAACAACTTCTTCTAGTGAAAATTTTGAGGTAGGCTCAAAATTTGATCGTTTAGAGCCTCGGCTCTATATAAAATTTTTCCTTTATGAAATAGGTTTGGAATTAAAATTCTGCAAACCCCTAGGTCAGGATAATATGTAACAACAGAAAAACCTTCTCCGGGGAAGGATATTCATAAGCTTCCATTCCCATAGCGACCACTAAAAAGATTGCTATGACAATGTCAAAATTAATTACTTCTAGATGACCATCAGGAATCAGAGAAGGCATGCACATATCAAGCAAGAATAGGTATAATCTTCAGCGAAAACCTACCTTACGTATCAGAAATAAGAAGTCCTCGGTCAAAAGCTTCCCTCGTTTCGATGCTGTCTCTTGAGCTTTGTGCACCTAGAGGAACTCAATTGCAAAGGAAAAACTGATTTAACATGTTCTAAAATTGTAAATATCAACAAAATCCCAATGTTATAAATTAATAAAAAATATCGTAAAAATTTTGTGAGAAATCGTAACATGACTATTCCTCACTATTGGCCTAAAGATTTAAAAATCAATAATTTGTAATTAAAAAAAGGGAAAGCATGAAAGAAACAAACCATTTTCTTTTTTCCTTTTTCTTTTCTCTTTCTTTATGACAAATAATAGGAGAAGGCATAAGAAGGATAACCATGACAATGAACAACTAATGGAACTATAGGGAAAAAAAAGTGCACAAATCTGAGGAAATCAGCATTGAACCATACATATTCAAATGCTAGGATGGGCATAAAAGAAAACCTAGACTATAACCATTAAAATTTTATGGTATATGCATACATGTTCTCTTCAGTCTATCAGTGTGACACTTGTTTTAGATGTGGGAAGTCGGGCTTTCAAGCTTGTCCTCAGGCAAACCGACCTCCCTACGCTACATAAAACTTTTGCTACATCGATTTTCAAAAGATTAAACTTTGACAAGTAAAAGGGCAATTCATGTCATGCAGTCCTGACACCAGATTCTTGAATCATGGCTTCTAATAGAAGTGTCAAGGTGCTAGCAGTTCAAAGATAGCTTAGCAAAAACTTAAGAACTATTTGCAGCATTAGAAATAAAAAAGGCACCAGAGAAATCCAATCTATACAGGCCAAAATCCCCAAACATTGATACAACTTGGTAAAGAGTGAACTTGCTATGGCAGCTACCAGCTAAATGCAAAACACATGGATGAAATCATAAAGCTGTAGAACCCCCATAATAATATATCTCTAGCATAGTGCATAAACTTATAGGCTACTCATAGATCACGAAGCCTAGGAGGATATCGCGAATAAGATAAAGGCTAACTAACATGAGACTGAAACATACCATATCTGTGATATACTCAACTGCTATGTCCTCCAGAAGTGCAACAGTTTCTGGAAGTGGCTATAAAAGAAGAAGAGAAGAGTCACATATATGTATGTCAGCTTGTTATGCGATTACATGACCATCTAGAGTGGATACAATGGAGATATGTATGAGGAATATCGAATGCTTTACATAATTTTTACATTATTCAAAAGGAATCCAAGGCAAAAATTAAAATCATTGAAATTATACACAAATGATAAAGTTGCTAAGAGAACATCTGAGTGATTCAGTGACACGACATTGAATCCCAAAAGCACACATACTGAGATTAACTTGATGTTTCACAAGGCACATAGTTATGGAAATAAACACAATCAAAATCCCATAAGTTAATTGGAAAACAATCATTTGATCAGAGTAGTAAATGTCTTTTGAGTAAATTTCATTACACCTCAAGAAGAACTAGGGAAATTGCCAAGCAAATAAAGTATATGTCAAAATGCCTCTAGAGTCTCTTCCACTATGTTATCCCAAAACAAGAGAATGTTTATTTAGTTCATGAGTCTCCAAGTGAGATATCTGAAAGTTTCAATGTCAATAACCTGGTAAAGTCTGTAACAGCATTGGAGGTAAAACTGGTGGCAAAATCACCACAAAAGTGCCCAACAAGGGAATATTTATTCTAACAGTGCAAAGGCATCAAGCGATTGGAAAGGTTATAAAATTTACTTGTATGGGTATAAACCCGCAAAACAAATGCAATTTCAGATTCACTGTCTGAATCAAGTTTCAACAAGGACATTCGTTTGTTCACAAGATTAGTTTTGGTATGGGGTTATACATCTGATTCTTAATGATTGACAAGATACATCCAAGTTTTTCTTTTTTGGGTAATTACATCTAAGTACCCTATATTGGCAGGTAAAATATGGATATCCCTTGGTTTTTGGCCAAAACAGGTGAATCTGCCGCTAAATTTTTTCTGCAAAATTTAAACTAATTTTATGGGAAATCATTATCTTTGGCCGAAATTCGCAAACCATTCGCTGCGAAAATTTCTCAAATTTTTATGTTCAAAATCATTGATTCTTGGCCGAAATGGGTAAATCAATTGCAGCTAAGATTTTTGCAATATTTAAGTGAATCAATCTTTGTCTACTTTTATTTTTTGCAGCGAACAGCCCAGGATAATTAATCAAACCGTGTCATAACATAAACAACAAGATGTTCAGTTGTTCATGTTATAAAACAGTTTTATCCGGGACAGAAGTTTGGGTAATACAACTAAAAATTCCAAAGAAAGCTCTCTATATAAACCCATAAAGCGGCATATATATTGTATTTTTTTTGTTCTTTTTTGTTTATAATAATCAAACAACAACCACACAATTATATAGGAAAGCACACAAAATGAGGGCCTTCAGTGTGAGCTTCTTCCATACGGGCAACAAATATGGGGACCAAATCACCAAATTTAAGGGGAAATCACAAATTTCAACCATGAGATCAAACCTCATGGTCATTTAGGTCATAGCTGCCAATTTCTATTTTCTAGATTCCTGATGATAATGGAAACAAATAGAACAACAACGATCGGTGAGAGAAAATACAGATAAATTTTTGATAGAATAAAGAAACGTACATTGGGATTTTCTATTTTCTAGATTCATGATGATAATGGAAACAAATAGAACAACAACGATCGGTAAGAGAAAATACAGATAAATTTTCGATAGAATAAAGAAACGTACATTGGGATCATCTCCAAATCCATACATCATGTGTTGCACTGTAACATCAAAAGAGATAATTAGCAAGTCTCACTCAAAAAGAATGACCAAGAATGCAAAGTGGAGACTTTATGTTCATATATTGGGGATTATAACAATACCAAAAGAATGAATTTGTCAAGAAAGTAAGTAAATGGCAACGGGATTAGTCATGTATACTTACAATCTTTTTGGAAAAAACCTCGTTTTCGTTTGAGAGATGCATCAGATGGTTGTGATGAGCCAACTGCTCTTTGCTTTGTGGATGCCCCAGCAGAAGAAGAATGCATTTCTATTGTAAAAGAAAGACACCTCCTACCCTCCTCTCTCTCTAAAAATTTGCTCAGCAAACTTGCTCACACTACTTGAATTGGTATCACACCTCAAACTGTGTTTTCCATGAATAAAGTCTCAGTGAGAATATAGACCACCCAACCATACAAAATAAAAAAAACAAACAACACATGTCATGATTCTTTCCAATTTAAAGGTGTGGATGTTGTGCTTTGCACTAAAACCATGCTAAAAAACTTGGCTGCAACTCAGGATACGGGATCTGCCTGAGCCGAATAACCCGAGTGAATCAGGATGGGCCAAAAAGAGCTAAACAATTGCTAAAAAAATATAAAACTTTGATTAAAAGTAATTAAAAATAGTGAAAAGCAAAATAAGTTATAAACATCATTAAAAATTTATAAGAGATGGAAAAAAGGGATTATGAAAATTTTGATTTCTATCTCGAAACAATTCAGGAAAATCCCAAAAATAGAATATTAGATCACATTCTACGAAAATTTCACGAATCAACACAAAAAAAAAAAAGAATTATATAGAAACATATTTATCCATCATTTTCAATTATTTAGCAACAAAATACTTTACTTTTCAAGTGATTTCAATAAACACAAGTTTGTCAAAGAAAAAAACTCGACGTGTTACTTTGCCGAGTTCAAGTCAGCTCGGCCACGTTTTGGAACACACTACCAAAGCTCAAATCCCAAGCCCAAGCCATTTTACATTTTCGTTATCTTTTATTCAACTGAGCTGTATCATGGAATAAATCAAAGAAACTGAAACCCAATCTATAGATTATTCGTAATATGCAATTTTTAGGGCAAACCCACGGAAGTCGAACTTGCGGTACAATAAGATAGCAATGATATGTATAAGAATTTACCAAAAATTCATCCATAGATTTGCTCAAAAACTATAAATAACAAGAAACAGAACGAATAGGCACAAATAGAACACGGGCCGAGGCAAATAACGATGATTATACAAAATCAGGAGATATTATTGATTCGTAGCTATCTACAACTGATCAAAGCAAGAAAAGGGAGCAAGATGTTGCAGTTCACACATTCCCATATAATTTCATCAATTTTCTATGATTAATTATTAGAGAGAGAGAGATTATACCATGAAAGAAGATGAAGAAAGCAGACCAGAGAACGATTATATTATGAAATAAATGAAAGAAAAAATATCAGAGAGAGAGATATTACATAGTGTGAAGAGAAAGAGGTAAGTGTCGTACAAATTGAGAGACATCACATTCTCTCTCTAAACCTATACAGTATGTTCCCCTCTCTCTCTCTCTACTGGTGACTTCTTGCTCTTATAGCTTGGGAAAACTTACGGGAATGACCATAATTGTTGACAAAATTACGTAAAGCCCTTGTTCCAGTTTTTAAGGAACTAGTGTATACAAGCAGCAAGCAATCAGCTGTATGCGAAATTTACACAATAAATCATGTTTTATTTTTGGGAAAATTATAAAAAAACCTTAACATACAATACCTATGCAACTTACCCCTCCTACATTTTTCTCTCACTTTTTTCCCCTAAGAACCTTTCATCGCAAAAAAACCCGTAACTCAAAAGAAATAAGAAAAAAAAACTGAACTACCTTTTTTTTTTCACTCGCCGTTCTCTCTCTTGTTTCTCATTTTTCAATTTATCCAATGCGGTCCGGCAATACAAAGACGCGCTTGAGCAGTACAATTTTTGGAGACGACACGCTCTGGCAGTCCTAAAGAACGCTTCAGCAATATATGCTTTGGAGCCACAATGCTCTGGCAGTGTAATAGGGCGCTCCGGCAGTGTGCTCAGTGCTTCGGTTGTACATTTTCTAGAGACATTTCGCTCTGGCAGTCTATAAAGGCACTCCGGCAATGGAGGCTCTGGAGCCACAACACTCCGTCAGTGTAATAGCGTGCTCCGGCAGTGTATTCAATGCTCCAGCAGTATATGAACGCGCTTCGGCAGTGCGTACGACGATCCGACAATCCTTACAAAGCGCTTCGGTGCTTGATACATACGCCTTCTGGCAGCTGTATAGTGCGCTCTGGCAATACGCTACTTGGGACTGATAGTCAGCGCCAATTGATTTTTTTTATACAGGAAGCGTATTTCCATGAAAAAACTAACAACTTTTTACCTTGGGGGTTTTTGCGAAAAAATGTTGTTGTGGGGAAAAAAGTGAGAAAAAAAGTTTGGATAGGGGTAAGTTGCATAGATAGTGTATATAGGGCTTTTTTTTTATTTATAATTTTCTCTTTATTTTTTATATTTAGAAATAGGGGAGTGATTTCATGCAACGGTTCCATCGTAGTATAATGCAATCACACTTCTAGAATATCATGTTTGTGGTATTTGTATGACCCAAAATTTTGCACACATACTCTCTTCATCTCAATAATCAATCCCCCCTTAAAAAAATAAATCAATTTGAAACCCTAGATATGGTCAAAATTAGTCCCCTCCAACAACAAATCTATGCCATTCATTTGGTGAATTTTAAGATTTTAGCCGTTACAAACTCAAAATTATTTTTCCTTTTTTAACATTGTTCTTCTAAAAAAAGTGGAAAAGAAAAAAAATCTTTTTAAAGCCTAGACCTAAGCATCTTATCAAAATGGATGGTCTATGTTAATTGGGTTAAAAAAATACTTTCTAGGTTTCATTTTCAAATTTTTTTTTCCCTAATTGTTCACTAGAATATAAAGAGTGTATATTTTAAAATTTGGATCAATCAAATGGCTCTCACATGGTTTTTGAAGATTGTTGCATTATACTATGATACCACCGTTGCATGAAATCACTATCCTTAGAAATAGTTTATATAATATTGCAACCTTAAAATGTAGAATTAAGGGAAATTATCAGAAATATAAAGAGTTCATATCTTCTTCTTCTCCTTTTTTTTAATATTATTTTTTAATTTTTTATTTTTCATGTTTTTTTTTATCAAAATAACCTTCATGGTAATTGTAACTCTGAAAGAAAAGACCATAAGTGGTAACACGGTACTTAAAATACCGTGATGACGACATGGCATATCATGGTATTTTAACTACCGTGATGGTATCAATGTTTTGCTCAACTAGCCATTTTGGATCAATAACACTAACCTTTGTCATGTATTCTTTTGTGGTCATTACAAGCTCATTGTAGATGACCCAATCAGGCTGCCTCTGGAACAACACACTGCTTAAATGGATGTAAACTACTTCGCTCTCAACATAAGTCTTGTAGGTCTCTTAAGGATCTTTTCGATCAGCATGGAAAAAGAACCCCGCACAAATTGCCTTATGTTGGTGAAATTTTTCTAGCACTCACAACATCCAATTCATACTTGTGCAAGATATTGTTCACAAATTAGTAGCAGGAATAAGACATTTAACCATATGGCAACACAAGTGGAAATGATTTGGCATGCAAAAGATAAAAAATAAAATAGACGACAAAAATAAATTAGGTGAGTAAGAAGATATTTTAACAAACAACTAACATCCATACTAGCAAGAAGCACCTTCAAATGAGGTGGGTCCAGAGGAAACATAGCCATCTTCCTCCCCAATTTTGTCAAGAGCCCTTCCTCATCCAAAGTTCCCAGACTGTACAGTTGTTCCATTGCAGAAACCAAGGTTTGAAACCATCACGTAGTTAAAATATTGTAATAAAATACCTTGAAACCAGCGTTTTAAAAAACGCCGAGTCGAACCGGACTCGCCCGGTTCGACTCGGAAATCGTGAAAAGGGGACCGGATCGCCCAAAAAATCGGAAATCGTCCGGTTCTAGAGAGAACCGGATGATTCTGTACAGTGAATCGCCGATTCACTGTACGGAATCGGCGAGTCCGAACAGTGAATCGGCGATTCCGTACGGAATTCTTTTTTTTTTTTTTTTGTAAT